TTAAGGCCTTAAAAAGTCTTAAATTGTACAAGAAAGTCTTAATTATAATTTCAAGAGGTCTTAAATTTGGATACGGAAAGACCAGAATTGCGATATGGCTGAATGTGACGATTAAACTTCAAAAGGCTATGATTTCATTAAATAAACAGGAGCGCTGCAGGTTCAAAGTCCGGTGCTGCTGCTCTGTGTTCTGCTGTTACCGGGGAAACAGTTATATTTCTACCAAACGCTCCACCTGCTGGCAGAGAATGAATGAGCATTTTCAATAAAACTGTTGTTTTGTTCAGAGTTCAGACCAATGCGAAAATCCACCCATGTTTTTACCCTGCAAACACGCAGAGCTTTAAATGTGAACTGGTGGATTGATAAGAAGATCTTAACACCTACAGAGTGCACGCATACATTAGGTGATGAAGTCTAGTAGGTTCGACTAGTGTGTGTGCGAATTTATAGTGCGTTCTTTCACTGCATGAATCAGTCTATTAAAATGCATTTAGAATGATCACATAATTCAAGATATGGGGCAAAAAATGTATATATTTATATAATTTCATATAGTTAATATCACACAAAGAGTGCCGGTTTTTTCTCCAAAAGTAAGCATGATTACAAATGTGATATTGATTTTATGCAACAGTTCAATAAACAAGTAGTTAATATTAAGAGACTTACGTTTTAGACACCATATTTCCTGTTTTTGCTCCATTTCTCCAACAAAAATCATTTCAAACACAGCCACAAAGCTGTTTTGCGTCTCTGAGCAACAGGATGCCGTTTTGTTCCTGAATGAATCACCCGTTTATGATTTGGTTCAATCGCAATGACTCTCTTATTAACAGTGACTTGCTGCCGCCTACTGGTGGTTTTAATTTCACATTTAAGGTACCTTTTCATTTTTTTAAATAATTTCAAACATCAGTTTTCAATGTTTTATGTTTGAAATATCAAAACATTATTTAGCTATGCATTTGTAACTGCAGATTGAAGTATTCCATGTCCCTCAGAGCTGCATTAAACAGTGTGTAAAT